TATGAAACCCCAGACGCAAACTGTCTCGAATTCTCGATCCGAACCTCCCTCGTGTTTAGATGAGGCTATGTGAACACGGAAAAAGTGCTCTAATGCTTAAACCGTATTGTAAACATTTCCTAACGACTGCTCGCACTGATTGAGATCGAGATAAAACCAACCTCTTAAAATAAGCTTCTCTTAAGCACTTTATAGTAAATAGCGTGTCACACTGATGTATTCTACCAGTGAGGCAACTAAGCGAAGGAATTATAAAGAACATCGATCTTGAGTGTAGTATCTATTCAGGGCAATGCCTTTGTTAAAGAGAAGATAGGAAAGGAAAGTATATAACCATTTGTACATATTCATGGTGAAAGATGAAATAAGTATAAAATATGGCTTACCGCATACCTCGGTGATCAGTGATCAGTCCGCAAAAATACGTTGTGAAAATTCACCAGATCATCACTCTAGGACCTGCTCTAGTGCCCTTACACCAGCTAACTCGTGTTAATGGTAGTCATCAAGAATTTCATTCTTCCTCGTCCGAAAGGATCCTAGCGACACTTTAATTTACAAAACATCAAAGCCGTATGAGATTGGAGAGCGAGATAAAGTTATTCAAATGAAAAAAAAAAAAATCATCGATTTACAGTGAAATACTTACAAGGTTTGTTTAAAATATCACAAGTGTCGACTGCCATGCGTGGATTTTGGATATTCAATCATCTTTGAAACTTTGGAATATTATGATTGGCGCGAGCTTGGTACAGGGTCTCTCCTTAGCAATGTTAATCTCTTGACAGGAATATTCGACAAAAAAGAGACTCAATGGAGATTTGAAATTTGCATTTACGGTGACATCAACTGGTGGTTGACTTGTGACAGAGACTCAAAACATCATAGAGACAACCCGCAAAATCTTAAGGTGGTTGTTAGTTGTTCATTCAACCACATTGTAAAACGTTAACCAAAATATAATCATGGAATATATATATAATAGAAAGTACTTAAAAGCTGTCGACCCTATAATCGTAAATTTAAGCGTGCACTTTTGCTACGGAGAAAGTTATCGCAATTTTGAAAACCTTCGTAATGTAGAAGTTAGAGTCCATTAATGTTCCTTTGTTTTCTCGCCCGTAAGTGATCTTAGTAAGTCACGTGATGCGACCAAACCCGCGCCTGACTTCGCTTTGGTAAAACAGTTTACTTCTCTGAATAGACTATATTTGTAGACAAGTATTACTGCAGACTTTTAGCCAAATGAAGGTTATAGTCTATTTATCTCAAAAACTATTTTAGAAGCACCTAGGGGCACGAAAATTAGTTCGAAATATGGGATGGTTCGGAAAATCGAGAAAAATTTTGACGGGAGAGCAGGCAAAGACATTGGTTGCAAAATTAAAGTAGAAGGTTCGAAAACTTCGGATCACTGTATAAGGCAACAACAACCAGTGATATCCTTCGCAGACCTCTTTACCACCCTCGTGACAACAGTTGAAATTACCCGGGGTGGGAGGGTTAGTGGAACAAACTTAATAGTAGAGTATAGAACAAACGCGTCACTCGAAATCAAGCTAAGCGAACACGAAACTGCAATAACATGATACCAAAGAGTGCAAGTAACGGGACTTATTTGTTTTCTTCAGCTACACCTCGGCTTGGTACCCCGAGGGGGGTCTCCCAGAGCAGGAGTGCTCAACAGAAATTTCGAAAAGATCCCTAAGAGAAAGCAAGGTCTTGTTATCTGGGCGTGGCTTCAAATTTTTTTCACCCCTAATTTGTACCAATTCTAAAACAACACCTGAACTGACACTGACTTTATTTCAGCTCAATTCCCTCAAAGGTACCGCAAAAGCTCTCGCTGTGGACCTTTGAGGCTGAATACCCTAAGATATACCAAACCCACTATTTTAACCCCTAAAAGGTTCGATGAACACCCCCGTCCTTCTAATAAGGTAGTTTCCCCCCCCCGACCCCCGAGGTTTGGTACTGCGTTCGCAGCGAAGATTCAGCACGATGGCTGTCATTATCTGAAAGACCGATATTAAAAATTGCTTTATTTATTAAGGTTTTTCTAGTTTATTAATAAGCAGTTATTTGAGTCCTAAACTCCGACGAAGTTTCAAGTCGTTCGTTAAAAATGCATATATCTTATTAGATGTTTTGGTGTGTAGTATCGTATATTTTTACGAGTTGTGCTGTAATTTGACGAGCCCGTAGGGCAAGTCAAAATGCAAACAACGAGTAAAAATATACAGCGATACTACACAACAAAACATCTAAGAAGAGACTTATTATCCAACTGCTGTTAGTCAGTAAATTTATCAGGGAAAGAGGGAGAGTGTGACAATTTTTCTTGTGCGCGCCGAACTGTCCGGCAAACAGGTTTTCTACTGTACAAATAACTGTACAATATCGCTGTATATTTTTACTCGTTTCGCGCGATATGTGGATGGATAATATATATATATATATAACATATATTTGAAGGAGAAAAAAATGGCTTATTGTAAAAAAAAGTAGATATTTAGCCAAAATTAAAAATTTTCCGTTTTGTATTTCTGCCGAGGTAGTGTTTTGGGCAGATGATGAACAAAAGTCGACCATCGATTTAATCTATATACAACTTGGCACATGCACTAAAACTGTCCGTCGAGGTCATGACATATTTTATTTCTCATGCGATCACTCGCTGCCGTCCTGGTCATTCTTGCCACCACCTGACAGAAAAAGGAAACAATAAAAAATATATAATCATTAAGTACACTAGAATTCAGTTATTTCAGTTGGTCACAATTAGAAAGCTGATTAGTCGGTTGTTGCTACATGTATAAAATCAAGCTTGGCGAAACTATACTATGGATCTTATAAAAGGTTGTTTTTCACTATGTTCTTTACCAATAAGATTGTGACTTTGACGTCCACTATGTTTCACTGGCTCAGTCTGTCTTCTCACTCCAGGCAAATTGAGCGCTATTTCGTTTTCAATGAACCTCACTTTCCCCGTTTCTGCTGTTCTGAATTTTTCGGTAATAAGTAGATTCACGCCACCCTTTAAAATATGAAAAGAGTACAAGAGGCGCTTTCTGTCGGTATATCTTTTGCTTTGATTACACGAAAATAATATGTTTTTCAGAGTGCGTAGTAATTTTAAGCCGCGGCGAGGGATCTGGGCTTAATACCAGTGACCAGACGAGAGAGCGGCGGCTGAAATCGAGCCTAACAATTGTAGAAGAACCTCGCCCCAATATCTAATTTATAATTTTGCGCACAGACAAGTTCAAGTAAAAGTCCACTATCAAAGCAAGTAATTCTTGGGAAATTATCCTCTGTCCTCTAATAACATGATCTTCTTATTACTACTCAAGATGATAAAAAGTAGCTTTCTTTCTGAAATAATTCAATACAGCTTAATGTTGGAAATTTTCTAAAACAGTGCCTTTGTAAACAGGTTTTAAGAAAATTATTAACAATTCAATAACAATAACATTTATTATTTGTATTGCGCCTTTTCTATAAAATATTCAATATTCAGTCATGACCAA